TATTTCACAGTCTTCGCTGCCATCTGGTGTCGAAATGATTTCTTCCCGTTCCACTTAGCTCAGCTAAAGCTCCTCCTAAGCATCTGTTGGGTTCAGATACCTTTAACCTAAGCATCCTGCTCTGCTTACTGTTGGCGTTGTACAGTGATTTATCTTATACAAAGTTCCTTATCATGTTCCTTGGTCACAGTTCACAAGACTGGGCAGCATCTGGAATGCAGTGTTTAAATTCTTTGTCTCACCGTGGCCACCAGAAGAGACAGGATGTTCCTGCACAAATGACTGCACCTGATCCTGGGGCTGACTCAGTGCTGAGAGCTCTTCTGCAGCCAAATGGGGATTGTATTTTACAGTCAGACAGTCACAGCCTGGTTTGGGGTGGAAGGGACCTCAAATCTCACCCAGTCACAACCCCCTGCTGCAGGCAGCACCACCTTCCACTAGAGCAGCTTGCTCCAAGCCTCATCCAGCCCAGCCCAGTGGTGCTGCACTTTGGCTTCATTACTTGTCCCAGAAGCCTTGCTAGTGGGCATTAGGGCTAAGTTCCAGTGCTTTAGGAGTCAAACCCCTCTCATAGGATTCCTCCCCAAACAGCCTCTGCCCCGTCCAGAGCAGCATATGGCAGCCATTGTCAAAGACAGAAAAGGTCATTTTAATCTCAACAGCAACAGCAAAGCTGCAGTGGGTAGGTGGGTGGATGGGGGCAGCAGGAGTGCCAGGGCTTCAAAAAGCAACAGGAGGCTGGCACCTGCAATGAGAGAGTCAGAAAGCACTGAGAAATCCACAAAGGCAGGAACAGGCATGACTTGGTTCCCCTTTCCTTGGCCTTTACAAGGAATTGTGTTGCACTGAGAAGAGAGAGCAATTGCAGGCACTGGCTGGGGGATGGCTCTGGCACCTTATCCTCATGGGTGATGCACTTAGAGAGCCATTCCCATGCAGAGACGCACAGTACCCCTGTGCCATGAAGCAGGGCTGGGTGGGGAGCCCCTGGGGAGCTGCCATGGCATTACTGCCAAACCCTGCCAGCAGCAGTCCCCACCATCCCTTGCCAGCCAGTTGGATGGACTCTTCCCAAATGGGAAGACTACCACCTCTTGTAAGGGGACAGGGAGAAAGAGGGTGAACCTTGGTGACAGGGCTTCTGTGGGCACTGCAGAACCTACTAGACCCTCCTCCTCACCTATCTCCTGCTCCTACAACTGGGATGGCAGCAGCACCTGAAGTGGCAGCTTTCCAGACAGAGTGGGAAGGTGACCTTACACTTGATCCGATGGGAATGAATCCTGGTCCATTTTTACAAAAAGGAAGCAGAGCATTTTACAAGAAGGAAGTGGACCAGGACTAGAGGGGCCCTGCCTCCAGCCATGTGCAGGACAGGGACAACCAGGTTTACTGAGACTCCCTGATTCCCATCCAGGAGCTGATCCATTGGTTAGAGAGCCCAGGAGTGACCAGCAGCACCCGCTCACCCTTTAATAGCCCCATGTGGCCAGTGCGAAAATCTAACAGAGAGTGGAGACTAACAGTAGACTGTCGTGGCCACCGAGTGTTGCCATACCGGACATGCTAGAACTTCAGTATGAACTAGAGTCAAAGGCAGCCAAGTGGTATGCCACGACTGATACTGCCAATGCATTTTTCTCAATTCCTTTGGCAGCAGAGTGCAGGCCACAGTTTGCTTTTACATGGAGGGGCATTCAGTACACTTGGAACTGACTGCCCCAGGGATGGAAACACAGCCCTACCATCTGCCATGGACTGATCCAGACTGCACTGGAACAGGGGCAAGCTCCAGAAGACCTGCAATACATTGATGACATTAGCTTGTGGGGTGATTAAGCAGAAGTCCTTGAGAAAGGGAGGAAAATAATGCAAATCCTGCTGAAAGCTGGTTTTGCCATAAAGCAGAGTAAGGTCAAGGGACCTACACAGGCGATTCAGTTTTTGGGAATAAAAAGGCACCGTGACTCCTGGAGCACCCCGTTTGCCCAGTGGCCATGGGCTCGATGCTGCCACCATCACAAAGCCATGGCTGTCGCTGTGGAGACGCCCATTGTGATGGGGCCCCCACGGCAAGTGTGGGCTATTTAAGGTGTGAGAGCCCTGCAGTAACCAGTGCAGAGGAGACCCCTCCCTTGGGAGGCTGCATCTCCCGTGGCTGCCCTGCGCATCCACGTACGTGTTCTTTGACTTTGCAATGCTGTCTTGGTGTTGGCCTCAAACACATTGTGGGTGCGTGCTGTGAAAGGAGGAGAAGCTGTCAGGAGATGAGCTGGTGCCATCCCAGCTGTAGGAGCAGGGGATGGGTGAGGAGGAGGCACTGGCCTTGTTCATGTGCTTGGAGCTCCCCTCTGCCTGCAGAGGTGCTGGGGGAAAAGCAGGAGCCTTCTGTGTGCAGGAGCTGGTGGCTCCTTCCTCTTGGGCATGACATCAGGTTTGGAGGGTGTGCATGGCTGGTGCTGCAGGAACCCGGTTGTTGTGTGTTCTGGATGCTGCTTCTTACTTAGGCGTGTTCTGCTTGGGCTCATGCAGTTTAGATACAAGTGAACAACTGCCCAGAAAGCCTTGGCTTTAACCTAGACATTGCACAGTGCCTGAGATTAGACGACACAAATTCTCCTCGCCACCAGGGTGTGAGATGCAGGCACCCTGCTGTTCAGATCCACTGCACTGTGTTGGTTCCCAGTTGCTGCAGATTCTCTTGGGAGTTCACTGTGACAGGAGCTGGTTTGCCTGAGGACTGCAGCCAAAGCCGTTCAGAGGCAGCAGCAGCTGTTTGCTGTATTAAGGCTCCTGGGTGCATTTAAAGACATGACAGACTGGCTGTGGGGGTATTTGAGAGCAGGCACACTGCTGCGGGAGGAGAGTGTGCTGCTTTATCTGAAGAGCATCACGCTTTAAAAGCACCCCCTCCACTTATTCATGGCTCTCACCATCCGTGTGCACTTGAAGTGAGAAACTTAACAGATTTCTTGTGTCCAGGGAGAGTGTCATAAGGGGAAGGCAGGTATCCTCAGTACCCTAAGCAACATCCAAAAGCAAGCAAACCCCATGAATTGAAACATGAATTACTTTGAATTGCTTACTATTTTGTGCAATGAAGGCTCTTGAGTTTGGTCTTCCTAGGGGTGGCCAAAGGTGATGACAGGCTTGTGTGTCACTGGCAGCTTTTGCAGACCATTGTCTCCAGCTGTGTTAAAGGGGGCTCTCTTGTCCAGGACATGGATTCTGTTTCACTTTGCTGCTCCTGCATTCTGTTCCCTGGCTGGAATGTACCCAACTCTGAATTTATGGGCCCTGTGCCTTACTACTGGCAGAGCTGAGGATGTCATAAAAGGCCATTCAAAACTCTTCCCCAGCAGACAAATCCCTGCTTGTAGACCTGAAGAGGTCCCAATTGCCTTTTGCTATGAGCTTGACCTTGTGTTCCATTTCTTGTTGAAATGCAGGGGAAGGGAGAATTTGTGGTGCTCAGGGGCGCAGGGATGAAATTTGCACATCACTTACCTAAAGTATTCCAAGCTGAGTGGAACAGAGTGTTCTGTTTACCTGGGAAGAGCAAGGACCTTGAGTCTCCCCTGGAGCTTTCTGCCAGCCGCTCCTGGTAGGACCGTCTTTGCTGGCTGTGATGCAGAGCACACTTGTCACATCTTGCCTGGTCTGCACTGCTCCAAGGTCCTGTTTAGTTTGTTCAAAGGTTTCTTGTTACTTGAGACTCCATCTGAAACCGCTCTCTGGGTCGCTTGGCAGAGAGGGCTTACAATAGACTGATTTTGGATGTGCATTCTCCAGAACCCCACAGCACCTGCAGACTTTGCTGGTGTCCTGTTGATCCCCCAGTGACATCCGTCTTGCCATTGCCATAGAATCATGGCAGTGTTTGGGTCGAAGGGACCTTAAAGCTCCTCCAGTTCTGTCTGCCCGCAGCGAGGGCTGGGGCGTCCGCGTCTCCACGGGGCACACAAGAAGGGCTCTGTTTGACCCTGCATTATTGGTTGTCCAGAAGAGTTTGTGCGAGCGCGTTCTGTGACAGCACCGCTGCTGCCTCTGGAGCCGTGCCGCCCATGTCCCTTCTCCCCACGGACCTGTGCCCAAGGCTGCAGCCCAGGGGCAGGTCCCCGAGGCTCCAGGCGGCCTCCTCCGCTGCCGGAGCTGAGCCAGAGCCCCCGGCCTTCGCTCGGGCCCTCAGGATCCCTGGCAAAAGACTCGCTCCGAGGCCCCTCCCGCCACGGCCGTGCCGCGCTTCACGCTCTGCGCCTGCGCACGCAGGGACTCGGACTCGGGCGCGGCGCGCTGAGCGCAATCAAGCGCCGGAGCCCGGACTACAACTCCCGGCGTGCCCCGCGCGACGGGGGGGGGGGGGGCACGCGTCAGAGAGCGAGAGGAAGGAGGGGGGCGGGAGCGGGGCGGGGCTGCAGAGCCCGGGGGGCGGGGCCGGGCGCTCCGAGGGGCGGGGCCGGGCGCAGGGGAGGGGGGTGCGGCTGCTTGGGAGTGTGGGGGGTGCTGGGAAGCCCCCCCGGAACGTCCCGGAGGCAACTCGGGAGCCCTGAGCACAACCCAAAACCTCTGCGGGACAACGGGAACACCTTGAGAACATCCGGGTGGAGCTGGGAGTGACTGGGAACCCCCAAAAGCTACTGGGAAGCTTTCTGGGGCAGCGGAGGGTAACTGGGAACCCCGTGTGAGTCTATGAGAGCCTGGGGGGGGGGGGGGGGGGGCTCCTGGGAACCACTGAGGGCAACCCAGAACCCTGCTGGGGGCAACTGGGAGTAACTGGGAATCCCTCAAGAGCCTCTGGTGGCAACTGGGGCTAACGGGGCACCCCTTGAGAGCCTTTGGGAGACCCTGGAGGTAACTGGGAATCCCTCGAGAGCCCTGGTCAATCCTATGGAACACGCCTAATGCAGGTGCTGAGCCCTGCCTACCCCTGCTTGTGGCAGCCCCAAGCAGAGCCTGCTCCCCAGCCCAACCAGTTTGGAACTGGGCTGTTGAGGAGCTGGGCTGCCCAGGAGCACCGGTGTGACCAGCACCACTTCAGGCTTCTCCACGGCCAACATCCGACAAACTGGGGGTTAATTGGGTTCTTTATTCCCATCTTCCCCCAAGCAGGGAGCATTTCCTCAGTCCCGACTCTTTTAAACAGAATTTCTCTGCTTCCCAGCAAATCTCCATTAAATCAATGGCAAATCCATGCAGAGCTGCTTCTCTGAGTGCCTTGAACCAGGAACGGACCTGCTGCAGGACAGATACTGAGGTGGGGGCTCCTCCTGGCCTGGCCTTATCCCAGCTTTATTCCCTTATTTATCACGGACCAAGACCTTGATCTGCTTGAGGCCATGGGGCACAGCCCATATCCCTGCACATGGCGACTCGGGCATCACAATGACCACGGGGACCAAAGGGAAGGCTGATTCTGGAACACCACACGTTCAGGTGTGCAAGGCCTCAGAACCCGTCACCGGAAGCAACAGGAGATGACAACTGCCCCATGGAACACAAGCTACCACATGTAGGTCACCATGGAGGGCACCACGTGTAGGCAATGCCCAGCACCAGCTTTCTGTCCTGGTCCCTTGTGTGTGGGAGCAGTGGCTGGACGTTTGCACTTTGGGAGCTGTTTTGTGGGATGCTTCAGAGCACTGCTCAATAGGCAGTACACAGAGGGAGTTTTAGGGGGCAGAGCAAGGGTGGTTGGCCATGTTGGTGGCACTCTTCTGGTGCCCCCCCTACAGCCTTGTTGCTCGTGGGTGGGGACAGCAGAAAGTGGCGTGTTCCTCCTCATGCCCTCCTCACACGCTTTCCAGGTGTTTGGGTGTTAAGAAAGGTTTTCTCCAGGCATTTGAACCCTTTTTTAAGGGAATCATTGAAGTGAAAGTGGGTGATTAACCCTGCTGCATGTGGGCTTAGGGCTGTGGTTTCTCATGGCCTTTCTCCTTCCAGAAAGGCCAGGCTGGAGGAGGTCACTGGGCAACAGCCAGAACTGTCCAAGCTGTGATTTATCAGTGTTCAAACAGCCCTGCCTCTTGCTTCTGTCCCAGCCTTGGCTGAAGTACCCCATGAGGCTCTAGTCATGGAGCAGCATCTCTATTTCCAGCCCTGGCTGCCCTAATCCAAAAGCATGCCTCTACCTGTGGCATAGCCAGCTCCTTCATGTCACTGGCTTGGGCAGGATCTGGCATCTGCTCCAAGGGCCACGGAGAACCAGAGGGGAGTTAATCCTTCTGCTCCTCTCCACAGCTGATCCCGAGCTTCCCAGCACCTGCCCAAGCCCCTTCCCAACAGCACTAGGGTTTCCCTCCACTCCCACCCGGGAAGGGGTGATGGAGAGAGGGGCTGCGCCCCAAAATAGCAACATAAGGTGCACATAAGGGCAAGGTGCAGGGGAGTGGCTTTGCCTTGCTCACTGTCCCATCTCGCACTGTCTGGGCTGGAGGAGGTAGGAACAGGCCCCCTCTGCAACCCAAGCTGTACATATATATAGACATATAAAATGTAATATGTATATACATTAAACCCAGCACCCCATCCTGCAGCAGGGATGCACAGACATGAAAGGAGACAACCCCTCCCCTGCACATTTGGTTTGCCTGTCCCTGCTAATCCTCAGCAATCCAACATGATGGGAGACCTGTAACCTCATCACAGTCCATAGTGGAGTTTAGAGATGAATTGCCAGAAGAACCAGCTACTGCTTGCGAGGCTGGACGGGGAGGCTTCCAAGCTTGGAGGGTTTGGGTTCCCCTTTCCAGTGGCTGTGGAGCAGGAGCAGCTCCAGGACATGGTCGCATGTCCTGGTTCCTGTGTGTGGTGCTTTTCCCTGCTGTGCTGGTTTGTGCCTGTGGAACACCCTGACCTTGGCATCTCTGGGCTAGGGCTTGCATGATGCCATGAGTCCAGGAGGGGGTATTTAAGGAAATAAAAGCCCCAAACTTCTCCAGCCCTCTGTTGTTTGCAGGGGGTTTTGTCCAAGCAGCAGGACTAAAGACAGGGTGGGGTTTGGGACTCAAGCAATCCCAGCGCAGGAGCACACAGGTCCTGCTGCTTGGCTCCTGAGAAGGACCCATCTCCTGAGTGTGTGATGGCAGAGCTGAGCTGTAGGGAGGAAGGATGGGAAGAAGGGAGGAAGGAAGGATGGAAGAGGAAAGAAAAGCAATCTACACTCATCTTTCCCTTCCCTCTCTCAGCCTGCAGGGGTAGTGGCCCTGCAGCACCAGTGAGCGCATCCCATGCTGTGGGATTGCTGACACCAGGACTCCCATCCTTGTCAGATGGAAACAGCCCCTGGGCAGGGCTCTGCAGCCCTGCAAGGAACTCCCAGGCACCACTGAGACCCAGTGACGTGCCCAGGGTGCCCCTGCCTGCTGCTGGCCTCGGCCCTGCTGACGTGAGGCCAGGCTGACGCTGGGGACTATATCAGTCAGTGACAGGCAGGAAAGGAATGCGTGGAGGGAAGCCAAGTGCAGGCTCCTCTCGGAGCTCCCTGTCACCTCGCCTCTTATGGAGAGGAGCAGGAGGGAAGAGGGACCAGGAGCAGCTCCCGTTATGGAGAAGCCCTGAGGAAGCTCTGGCTCACACGGGCATCCAGTGGGGCCCTGGTAGGACACGGGGAGGGGAGAACATGCCTGGAACACGCCATGGGGACAGCCCTGAGACACAGCTTGGAGCTGCCCGACCATGGTGGGACAGGAGGTTGTGTCCCCACCCCAGCTGTCAGGGGAGGTTGGTTTCCCCTGGAGATGCACTAATTCCCACCCGGGTTTAGGCTCACTGTGCACAAGCAGAGAGGCTTGTTGCACTACAGCACACAGAGATTTAAAACCAGCAGGACCACAGGCAGGGCTGGCACCTTCACATTCCTGCTGGAGAGGAGGAAAAGGAGGAAGAGCTCACAGCGGGTGCTGGTGACTTGGCTTGGAACAGCCAGGCCATTAATCTGGGGCTTTCCATGTTCCTAATCCCCATTAGCACTGACCCTTGATGCTTGGGGTCAGCCAGCTTCTGCCAAAGCCCTCATGGGTGCTCAGGGCGGCTGGGTGCCCCGGGGGGCTGGGGCCAGTGCTGGTGCTTCAGCCTTTGCCTTTTGTGCAGGCTCATTCCCCGATTCCCATGTTGTTTCCAAGACAAACTGAGTGGGTGGGAAATGTGCTGCTCCCTGAGCCCAGGAAATGGCTGTGGGGAGGGAGCAGCATTGAGCCAATGTCACTGCACTGGTAGGGCGGGGCAGGAGGGGTTTTTGGTGGTCAGCTGCAGGACAGTCTTGCTTCATAAGCAACAGAAAATGATGCTTTAAAGTACCATTCCCCATTACCCTGTGCAGCCACAGGGAAAAGCCTGAAGCCCTGGCGAGCCTAAAGAGTGGGTGGGAACGCCCAAGCAGAGGGGCGAGGGGCTGGGGGCAGTTTGGGTGTGCTGATGGCACCAGCAAGGATGAGCATCCACCATCCAATATTTAAAGCCCCTTTCCAACAGGTTGGTGCTGCCACCACCGAATAGTGCTCAATTTTATGAAGGATTTTTGGGTAGATTTGGGGTCCTTGCAGACTTCGAGCATCTTTGGCACAGGAGCAAGGTCCTGGTACAGCCGAGGTCCACCTTGAACACCAAGTGAAGTTTCCCGAGGCAGCTGAGCGCGATGCCCCTTTGCTGTAGTACATGGTAAAAGCCTCTTCGTGCAAAGCTGCAGAGCATGAAGAGGTTCAGAACCTGGGCAGCTCAGCACAGTGACAGGTCAGGGCACGGCTGAACCCCCCCCCCCCCAGGATCAAGTGCAGGTCCCTGGGAACCTCCCCCTGGTGCCAGGGAAACAAGCACTCCTCTTTCCCCTCTGGTACTGCACTGGGCAAATATTTGCTTTGAGAAGTGCTGCCTTGCCCCAGGCCCCACAGCCAAGGCCAGCCCTGGCAGGAGAGCTGCTCACACGAGGCAGCGAGGCTGAATCCTACTCACAAACAAACCCTGCTCCTTATCGAAGGGAAGCAGCCAGCCTGGAGCTGGCCCTGTGCTCCAGGGATGCTCTGCAGGAACGTGGGAGCCTCCTCAGAGCAGGATGGGGAGGTGCTGCCACAGCCCATGGAGCTTGTGGGCTCTGGGGAGGGGACACCCCTCCTCCTCCATCCCCTCCTCGGCCACCTGCATGGCCAGGAAATCATCCAGGGAAGGGAGACATGGGGCCAGAGGGAAGGTCTGCAGCACCCTGGGGTGCCAGGAGCATAGGAGAGGCATGCAGGGTGCTCAGGGGTATTGGGTGTCCATACTGGGTTTGGATGCCCCAGGGGAAAGGCTAGAGATAGACCTGCAGAAGGAAGAGCACTGGGAAGGACTGGGAAGCTGCTTGGAGGACAATCCCAGCCCTTGTTGGTTTTCAACCCCTAGAAATCCACTTTTGGCTGGCAAAGGGCAGGTGGTGGGAGCTGGGCAGGAGTTCAGGGCAGGAGCCCCTGCAGCAATGGTGGTTCTAGCTCTGCCCATGCTCCCCGGCCCTGGCCTCCACAGTGCTGGGAGCTGGAGCAGCCCTCGGCGCCTGGGACACTGCCCTTTGTTTCAGAGAATAAAGTTAGTGCTGTTACTCAGCCTGTCGCTATCCCAGCAATTCCTGCCTCCACTCCCGCTCGGCAGCAGGAAACATTCCTGCCTGGGGACTGCCAAGCAAAACATGCACCAGAGGGATGCAAAGGGATGGGGGCTGGCAGCACCATGGTGGCTTCCCTGGGATGGGCATCCCACCCTGTCTCTGAGGTGGTGCCTGTTTTGCATCCCCTAAGATCCCATTCCCAGTGTGGGTCACTGAGTAACCCGTCCTGGGATAGCAATAATCCATCCCATCAGCATGACAGGTAACCTGTGGTTCCTTGGGTGACCAAACAGCAAGTGGTGGACATGGGGACAAGGTAGGTCACCTCCAGCGTGTCCCAGCCAGAAGGCATTATCACCAATGGCCACCATGAAAAGTTCTGCTGATGCCAGTGGGATTCCACAGCCCTGCACTGTGGACAGGTTTGGTTTTGCACCCTGGTTTTGCTGGGAAAGAGGATGCAGAGCCTTCAGGATGCGGGAGCTGCCAGACTGGGGGGCTCCTGTGGCTCAGCACATCCAGCCTGGTGGTGGCAATTCCTCTTTCAGTTCTTGCTGCTGCCAGTGCAAAACATGAAACTGAAACCCAGTAGTGGGGGGAGGCACCGGCACCCTCCTCCTGCACCCATGTACAGGGGAGGCCCTGATGGAGGAATTTAGGTTCTACCAACCCGTGTCCTACCCAGCACCTCCTGCTCGTGCTGGACTAGGACTCTATGACACATTGAGCAAGCCCTGTTCCACCCTTCCTTTGGCATGGTGCTCTCCACTCCCACCACAGAGCATAGCATCCTCCCCCCCTTCTCTGTAAAACCCCCAAGAGCAGACCCCTGCCACATGCATAGCCCTAAACCCCACTGCAAAGCCTTGTGAGCACCAAACCAGCTTTAATCCAGCTGAGCAAAGCCCAAGCAGAAAGCCTGGGGCAGTGCACCCGCAGCTGGGGCTCTGCGCCACGATGCCCAACCTGGGAACAAAGGGAGGAATGTCCCTTCCCAGCTCTGGGGACATTAAACAAACCCCAAGAGCCCATTCTCTCTCTGTCAGCCCTGCAGCTCACCCGAGCTTTGATCTACAGCCCAGCACAGCAGATGGAATAACTCCCAGGGAGGGTTTTGAATCTGGTTCCTGCTGTTTGCTTCTGGCAAAGCTGCTGTGAGAACCCCAAAACACTCTGTCCATCCTTTTGAAGCCCTTCTGAAATGCATCATAGGGTTGTGTTTTCCCCTCCTCCCTTCCTTCTGAAAGCTTTTCAGTCCTTCCTACCTCTGGAAATAAACATTTGAGGTATGGCTGCTGAAGCACAGACCAGCTCAAAGCCTGGACACAGCCTCAAGGTAAGCTCCAGGGCCACAACCCTTTGAGCTCCCATCACCTGCTGTGCTTCCAGCCAAGGATTCTAACACAAATCCCTACCTGCTGCCAACAGTTCCACCAATGTGAAGCTGTATTTCCACTGGAGAAGAGCTGCCGAGGGCTCTGGGGAGAAAACCTCCTTTCTGCGGTGTCCCTGGGTCCTGGGATGCACAGAGAAACAGCCACGTTATTTTCCTCCTGGCTTGTCAAAACACAACAAAACAAGTAAAAAGGTAAAAGCCTCACTTAGCTTTGCCTGACACAAGGTTGGCTGATCCTGAGCGAAGCACAATATTCACACTCACTGCAGCTGATGCTCTTTAGGAACCCAATTTAGCCTTATAATTGCATTATAACCCAAAGTTATTTTAATGTTGCTCTCTCTCTCCAAGAGATAACCCCAAAGTTAGATATATATGTATATGTATGTATGTGTGTATATATGTATGTATATACACACACACGTGTTTAACACTAAATGGCTGTAATTTCCCAGACTGCACACTAAAGCCCACACTGGGAGAAAGTATCAGGATACAAAGGGTGCTGTAATCTTGAAAGACCAGAAGAACAAGGCATGGTGAAGGGAATTTCTTACCTGCTGCCCTGCTGTGCTCCTGTCAGGCCTGCCCAAGCCATGGAGTCATTGGGATGAGTACAAACAGCACCTCTGATAGCAAATAACCCGGCCCTGCTGTGGCTTTAGTGCTGTGATGGTGGTGCAGATGATGCTGCATTACTGGGCTTGGCCTCAGAGAGATAAGAAGGGGATTTTCTAGGCTCACCTCATCTCACCATGCTTCATGGGATGGAGCTCATGCTGGTAGCAGGGTCACCAGCACTGGGGACAGCAGGATCCAACCTCTCCAGCATGCACATGTACACGAGGTAGCTCCATGCCATGCTGACACGCCAGACAGACATGTGGGGTGATGGTGGGGACCCACATCTCTCCTTGGGTGGGCTTGTTTGGTCCTAGGGTAGGACACAACTCACACGCCTGTCCCAGAACAC